GCGGCTTTCCAAAGCTTGGAACCCAGAGATCGGGAAGACTATGCCAAAGTGAAGGCCGCCATTTTGAGAGAGGAAGCCATCAAGATGGAGGCGCAACGCCAACACTTCAGACAGTTCTGCTGCCAGGAGATGGAAGACCCCCGGAGGATCCACAGCCGGCTCCAGGAGCTTTGCCACCAGTGGCTGAGGCCGGAGAGACACACCAAGGAGCAGATCCTGGAACTTCTGATCCTGGAACAGTTCCTGGCTAGTCTCCCATCGGACCTCCAGAGCTGGATCCGGGCAGGAGGACCGGACACCTGTTCCCAGGCGGTGGCCCTGATGGAGGACTTCCTGTTGAACCAGCAGGAGGACGAGACAAGGAAATGGCAGGTCAGTTTTCATTTCGGGAGTTGTGTTACAACGCAGAGTTGGACTTATAGGTAGTCCTCAACTTACGGCCACAACTGAGCCCAAATTTTCCGTCACTAAACAAGGCACTTGTTAAGTGAGCCTGCTCTATTTTACAGCCTTTTTTTGCCATGGTTGTTAAGTGAATCACTACAGTTGTTAAGAGAAGCATGCAGTTGTTAAGTGAATTGGCTTCCCCCAAGGACTTAACCAGTGGAACTACCTGCCTCCAGAAGTGGTGAATGCTCCCACTTGTCCGAAATGGTATAGGGCAGTGGTTCTCAACCTGTGGGTCGGGACCCCATTTGGGGTCGATCGACCATTTCATGGGGGTCGCCAAGCAAGGCTGTCCGCCATTTTTTTTGTCCGCCATTTTTTCCCCCTTTTCCGGCGGGTGCCTTACTTCCCTTGGGCTGGGCCAGCTGGTGATCGGCCTGCTCCGTCTCTGCCGCTTGCCAGCTACGCCTCGGCCGGCGCAGGGGGCAGAACCACGCATGCGCGGCGCTCCCGGGCAGGGAAAGTCCTCGAGTTACGACCGGTTGGGTAGTCCTCGACTTACGACTGGTTTAGTCCTCGACTTACGACTGGTTTAGTCCTTGACTTACGACCGGTTGGGGTCGCGGCATTAAAAAGGTTGAGAACCACTGGTATAGGGTTTCCTGCCTGAGCTGGGGATTGGACTAGATGACCTCCAAGGTCCCTTCCAACTTGTTGTTATTGTTGTTACTACTACTACTACTACTACTACTACTACTACTACTACTACTACTACTACTCTGGGACACTACAAATAGCCACATTCACACATTCACACACACACACAAACACACAAACACACATAAAAGAACTTTTGTAAAAAGGAATACTGGGAATAATGCTATGAGAGACCACGGATTCTAGAGTCTGGAGTCCTCTGGTGGTGGGTGAAGGTACTGCTAGTGGATCCTGAAATAAGGTACAATCAAAATATAAGGTAATTAGGACTGAGAAATCCTAATTAAGCCACATGGACATAAAACGGAAAACCACGTGACCAACGCTGACTTACAACAGCAGTTCTGGCAATTCCAATTGCTGTCGTTAAGCGAATTCCTTGCAGTCAGTAAGTGAGACCTCGCGACTGCGATGTGCGAATCCCTGCCAGCTTTCCCATTGACTTGGCATCTGGGAAATCAGCAGAAAAGGTTGCCAATGGCGATCACATGGCTGTGGGGATGCTGCAACGGCCGTAACTTCGAGGACTGGTCGTGCATTCCACTCGTTCAGCTCCGTCATAACTTCAAAGGGGCATTGAACAAGTAGTAGTAGTAGTAGTAGTAGTAGTAGTAATAATAATAATAATAATTAATAATAATAATAATAAATAATAATAATAATAATAATAATAATAATAATAATAATAATAATAATAATAATAATAATAATAATAATAATAATAAAGTTGGAAGGGACCTTGGAGGTCATCTAGTCCAACCCCCTGCTCAGGCAGGAAACCCTATACCATTTTGGACAAATGGCTGTCCAGTCTCTTCTTAAAAACCTCCAGTGTTGGAGCATTCACCGCTTCTGGAGGCAGGTTGTTCCACTGGTTAATTGTTCTCACTGTCAGGAAGTTTCTCCTTAGTTCTAGGTTGCTTCTCTCCTTGGTTAGTTTCCACCCGTTGCTTCTTGTCCTGCCTTCAGGCGCTTTGGACAATAGCTTGACTCCCTCTTCTTTGGGGCAGCCCCTGAGATATTGGAACACGGCTATCAAGTGGTCGTTAACTGGGAACTTCTTGTACAATTCATTTGTTCAGAACAGCCCATTCCCCAAAGGCTCTGGCAGATTTCAGGGACCACTCAAATCTGGTGAGATTCGATGAAAGTTGGAGATCAACCTTTTTTAAAAAAAATAAATAAATCTGTAAATAATTTTGGGGTTCACAAACAGCAGCAGGCGTTCCCTGAAAGCCAAGTCGCAGGGCGCATTTGCCAGGGGACCCCGCAGATCCTGCTCATTCCTGGCTTTTATAACAGGCCCCGATAGTTTTCAATAAAGGGGCGATTTGCTTAAAAGTTGGGAGCCAAGAAATCTGGGGTTCAGCGGTGCAGACAAGTGTGTTGTCTTATTTTTAATGTTCCCTCCCCCCCCCCATCCCTTGTTTCTCCAATCACTGCAGGAGGTGTGCCTAGGTTCTCTAGAAGTGGAGGAGGAAGAGGATCCTGGAGACGGGCAGATCTACAAAGAAGACGAGCTGAACAGCGGTGGGGAGACCGGTTTGCTAGGTAAAGATCACTAAGTGGGGGTCTTTGGACGAGTGTTGAAGATGGGTGGACTTCAACTCCCAGACTTCCCCAGCCAGCAATGCTTGGGGCTGGGGGCATAGAGAGGGCCAGTTGCAGATGCAGCGGTTCATAGTTGTGTAGAGCTACGTACAGCTGTATAGGTTGTGTAGAGCTCAAGTGGTAGGGTTTCCTGTCTAGTCAGTCAAGGAACGAATAGAATGTCTGATTTTGCTTTCTAAAATTCCCTTCCATCCTTCACAGACAGTGGAATTAAATGCCCGAGTCATGCTAGTTCGTTGCTTTCTCTGGAAGGACCAGAAACGAGTGAAGCCGAACAAAATGAAGTAGGTGATATTTA